GAAAATGTTAAAAGTAGGGTAGACATGTGGAGATTATCCGACTGAACAAAACATGATCCGTCTCTTAAATGTGTGTCAACCACATACCTTATTTCGAGCTATTTTCTAAAATCCTATGGAGAAATTGCATTGCTTTTTTGTCGAGGGAACCGGAAGGTACCCATGCGCAGCTTACTTCCGGGTTTTAGGACGCGTCACTGCACCACTCTATTTGGAATCATAGAGCAACCTTGCAGAAGCAGGGCAGCAGCAGCGTTAGCGAGGCAGAGAGAGAGATAGCAAATATTGCATCTTAAATAGAGTGCCAGATTAGGGAGAAAGTGTTTGGTTGGTTATATGAGCGGGTAAGGCATATTACGTGTATATGTTTCATTGGTGCTCGAGATGACTGCCTGAACTAGCCTCGCAGGCTTCACTCCATTTGTGTGAAACTGTTCCTATTAACAGTATATTTAACGGTACTTCAAATGTTTAGTGTGTCTGTTAGCCTTACTTTAAATGTAATGCACATTAATAACCTGGATGGAAACATAACACATTATACCGCTTGTATTTCAGTCTAAAATGTCGATTCTAGATACTTGCGTAATTTAGGATACTACAGCATGAGTCAGGAATGTTTTTATGCCGTTTTTACCGACCCCTAAAATTAATACGGCAATGCTTTTGAGACAAAAAGCCCATCCAAAATGTCCACTGATGTTCCTAAGGCTATAACAGAACAGGAACAGGAATGAATAGAATTTACAGAAAATAATTGAGGCTCATGTTTTTATATTGGCTCTTAGTTTATGCTTTGCCTTTCTTTATACCATGTAATAGACTACAAATCAAAACCAATGATAACTAAAGCAAACAATAACAATGTTGTTGTACGCACCTCTTAATAAAGTCATTCATGTTTTGAATATTAGAACATTTTAACTCCATGAGCTCTACTAAACCTTAATGTGGTTATCAGATTTTATGATGTTGCTTTTAGTTTCCTGTTGTTTTATATCAGACAGCAGGGAGTTGACTTTGTCTTTTGTGTGACTCTTTGACTTTAGAAACTTCTAATGAATAGTTCTCCCCAGGCGGAAACGATATGCCTTTTCATAAAATCACATTATGTATAGAAGATCAGTTTCTGCAAGAGTGGTGTTAATTATCTTCTTGGCATTATTAGATCAAAATAAAGAACTCCCTGCTGATAAATGTGCACACTTTGTCGACTCAGCTGAAGCAACCAGCGTTTAACTGGTGTTGTTTGCACAGGCAGCATCCAAAAACTCATGTGCCGCTTGAGAAGGAAATAGAGCCAAGGTAATCTCCCTTTTACGTGGGCAGAGATGATTGCATTTATCTCACAACTCTACTTTATGTACTTTATTTGTTTGAGGGGAACATTCGTCATATGTCTTAGAATTCTTAGAATTGTTTTAAATGTCAGCAAAGTGTAGAAGGAGTTTGAGGATGCTATGTTTTTAAGGCCATAAATCACTTCAAATACCAAAAGTAGCACTGGTAAAATGTTGGTGGTGTGCTAGCTAGCTAATTCTTGCCAAACTAACTAACCATCCCATGATGTCCAGCTGAGGAATGAAGATCTCCTAAATCGGATTTTAGATTTCCATTTAGTGACATGAGATAGATTTTTTAGCTTAGCTTAGATATCTGCGATTTTACATTTCGGTATCTCTTAGTTTTGCTTTCTTAGTGTTATTGCACAATTTGATGCTAATATTTTATTTTCTGGTCTAATTAGTATTGACTTCATATTGTAACTACACTTTTATCGATGCTAGTAGGTCAATACATGAAACCAAACTAATTCCCTCCTTCCGTTCCCTCTTAGGTGGCGAAGGACGTGTCCATCCGTCTACACAAGCAGCTGGACAGCGTGGAAAAGAAGAGGAGTCGCCACGAGCTGGAGAACGAGGAGCTGCGGGTCCGCCTGCAGGACCTGGAGGTCGCCAAACAGGTCCTGCAGCAGGAGATTGAGAAGGTAGGAACCAAATAGTATAACTTTGCCATATGCAGCCAGGAGTGTCCATTGTGTGTTAAGCAGTGCGGGTTGCATCATTAAATGGGAAAAATGCTATTTGTTAGCATGACTGCTTACACATAGTATGTGAAATATTGTTGTAGCTGAAAGGCTACTTCTTTTGTGATTGGTGCAGTTTCTTGAAGATTTCTGGGTGTTTTCTGTGATATTCCTCAGTAAACAGCATTTAGTTGCTTCGTGTGGCAGCTAGAGACATCCAATGTACTGCATTGCTATTTAGTAAACCTGCTGAAGATGATCGCTATGTTCCAAGTTTAGACAAAAGGGTGTATTTGAGTTTGAACCAGCCTGGACATTTCAGACTAAACATTGAGTTTCAGGCGGATCCTTATTTAGCCTGCCTGCCTTTTAGTTTGTTGAAGAAAATCAATGTTTACTGTGCGCCTCAGGAGAGCCCGTCTCTGCCCTCATCTAGTGATTTCTGCCACTCTGCTGCCGCTCCAGGGACTTTGTTTTACCAAGTGTAGCCACTAAAGCACTGCAATATAAGGAGAAAACACGATTTGATGTCAGGGCCAGCTGAAGTGAAAATAAACTAAATGGAGTTGGCGTTGCACTACCTTTTGAAAGGAAAACATTTAAAAATAAAGTGATTTTGAACCTAGCCTAGTTGAGTTACGCAAGATTGATCTCTCCACTGTTTCCCTCCTTTCAATCTTTCCAGCCCTCACTCTCTCTCTCTTACTCCTGTACATGGTTTATTTGCCTCGCTGTCTAATGGGCTGATGCTCCTGGCCTTGGCCCCGGACCAGGCCCCTGATGTGGGTCAGAGTTGGATGCATGGCTGGCCTGCTGGCATGAGATCTAGGTCTGTCTGCTCCTCTTTGGCCAGAGTGTGTGTTCTCTCAATACAAATGACAGTTTGCTGTTAATGGATGGCTGGAAAAATGTCTGGGAGGGTGAGTGAGTGCACCCAAAGTTTGCCTAAGCAACTGTAGTTGGTTATTTTCTTGTTCACTGATTATAGTCAAATGGAGCATTTGGCAGATTTGGTGAATCATTTATTTACCATTGAATATTCATTCCAAACATGACCTGTATGCATGAGATTTGCAAAGGCACAGAAAGAGTAAGATACCAGCAGATACTTCGTCCATCCACCATTGATGTTGTATTCATAGTTACATCTCATTATCATTGCAAAGAATACTCATTTAATTACTGTTAAATAGCTGATGCATCAACCTCGATTGAAATTCTCCCGGTTTTTAAAATTCATTTGATATGTTTTGCGTTTGCATTGAAAGATGTTTTATTTATTTACCGGTACTTAGAAACTCTGAAGTACCCTGGAAAACATGACAATGCAAATATGTTATGACAATCAGTGTTGATTATTTCCGCCTTTATTCAATCATTTTGAGATAAAGAGTTTGGTATGGAGGAACACCTTACATATTACTATGATCTTCAGCAGCCACTGTAATAGGAAATAAGCCAGTAAGAAGCATACATCACAATTGTAGAGGATTCGAAACACATTGCGATTTGGATTTGAATGCTACCGTTGCTGGCGCTAGCTTTTAGCAGTGGATGCGACACCATTTTAAGCTAGGTGCTTTGATGGTCCTTAACAAACAGTTAACTCCTCTCCTTGAGTTTGTAAGTACAGGAGGGGCTTGCTTTAACTTAAAGAGCCTGTGACACGAGTTTCCCCCATCATCCAAACCCATCAATTTGAGTAAATATTGTCCCCTTGAAAACCGTTAATGAACTGATTTTGGATATTTGTACTTTGATAACCATTAATCTGCCCTTCAATGTTGACAATTTTCTAGATCTTCTCGGGGATTCTTCAAGTCCCGCCAAATTATGTGTGACGTCATTGCGGGCACAGCGCTCCAGCTGCACCGTTCAGGATCCCAGCATCTGCATGTAAACGCACGATGGGGCACACAGCAGCAAGCTCAGACAGCGATGACAGTTTAATTTTGAACGTGTCTGAGAGCTCATATGAGGCTGAAGGATCGGTTTATGTTGTATCTGTTAGAAGTTTAGGAATTAGGTGCGTCAATATGGGCGATCATACGGTCATGTAGCCAGTGGTGGACTGGGACTAAAAATCATCCCGGGACTCTCGACCGGCCCACTTCGGTACCACTAGTAAATTGTCAACGGGGGGAGTGGGAGCATACTTGCCAACCTTTAGACCTCAGAAATCGGGAGCATTTCAAAATGCAAAATTGGGGGGGGGGATCGCCAGAGCTGTT